AAGTGTAAACAGGGTCAGACTCTGCAAAGTGCCCAGGGGGACTCCCCAGGCCCTAGTACAGCACAGCACAGGAAAGCCCCAAGCGGGTTCTGCTTGGACATACTTATCTTGAAAGGAGAGAAGTTGAATCCCCACGACTTCCCATCAGCTCGTGGTAGAATACAGGGGCCTGTTCTGATGCTCCCAGATATGAACTCTATCAAAGAGCTTCCTTTCATTTTGCTTCTTTTAAATCATCTAGTTTTTTCCCCTGAAAAGGATTTGGGAGCAAGCCTGGGGAAAAGTACTGCTAGGATGTGAGGATGTTTTGTCAGTGTGATAAACACAGGCATGATTAAATACTTTAAAATATAACTGCCTGTTTGAAAATCCCTGCTTTGGGTCCACTGATAACAAGTTTCTCATGGAAATGACATTCAACTTCATACTGAAAATTAGTATAAAAACCTATCCTTGAGTTTGGGAGAGAGTGAAGACAAAAACCTTGAAGTTAATTGGAATTGATCTAAAGATGTAATCTACAACTTCTCAATCTAATTTGGGTTATAATATGCTCCAATTTCTATTTGATCTTTTCTAAAAAAAAAAACCACTTCAAGTATTTTTATTTTCTTTTAATCAAATAATTTTGAAGCAATAATATGCAACTGGAAAAAAATTACTATCAACAAACACATTTATTTTCCTAGAAGGTGGTCAAAAAATATTATATAAGAACAAGCAAGGCTTTGGGCTGGTGATCTTTGTTTCCATCTCATGAAGACTTTTACTAGACTAATTCTAGAATTAAAATCTTGTATTCCTTTAGTAATAGGCCAGAAATGAAGCCAGAGTCCAATAGGTGAATGGGATGAGACGTCTACGTCATATTGTAGAACTCTTGAGTGTCTAGCTGTCCCTGGGTTCTAGCTCCATGGAGTGAGTAAAGGTGGCTTTATGGTTGGCTCTTGTGATTTTAATAAGAAAAATGGGACACTTAAGCTCAAGTTTAAGAGGATGGTAGTTGATGTGCTATACCAATGTAACGTGCCTCCTTTGTAGCAAGCAGAAATAAAGAAATGTAAAAGAATAAAAATGTAATAAGGAAGCAGAAAGAAAAGGAAAGGGAATGAGGAGAAATCCGGGAAGATTTATTCCTGAAATTGGTTTATTTTCTCAAGCATGGACCAGCAAACTTTTTCTTCAAGTTTAGATAATGAATACTTCAAGCTTTGTAGGTTGTATGGTTTCTGGTGCAGTTGCTCAACTCTGCCTTTGTAGTGTGAAAGCAACCACAGACAATCTGTGAACAAATGGGCATAGCGATGCTCCAATAAAGTTTTATTTACAAAAACAAGTGGCTAGCCCATATTTTGCAGATCCTTGATATTATTAGCCTGGGCTGCTTGACTAATATCAGAAAGTAGAGTAGGTGCAGCAACTGGGCTTCTCGTCAGCACTTTGGGATATTCCCAAGTCTTCCAGCCAGTCCGGCCCCAGGTGTTGTGACCAGACACCAGGCTTGCTGATGGTAAGACACAGCATCACCAGCTTCTATTACATGGCATGCTGTCTCTGCCTGGGTGGCTATTAGGTTCACTAATCAGTGAGAATGCTGCCCATAAACAATAACCATCACAAGGCAGAACAGAGGCCACTAAAATCAGTGAAAACCTCAAAGCAAAGTAACTGTCTTGAAGTAATGCCTTTTACTGATGACCTATCTAAATAGTGAGATACTCACCTGGGCAGTGTGTGACTCATAACGGAACCCATTAGAAAGCACCACCCATGTAAAGGGATGACTAGCTACCTCTCTTCTATTTATACTACTATGTGGGTAAGGAGGCAGGAAACCTACAGTGTAAAACCAACCCCCATATCCCATCCCCACAATCAAAGTCTTTAATGCATTACAGACACAACAAAATTGGCCTAGCTAAGGAACCCAGTGATAGAGACCAGTGATGCTTATCAACAGACACTCGTACCATTCTTATGTGGGAAGCTTCAATAGCAGAACAGAGGCTCATGGCTGCAATATTGCTACATGTCTAAGAAGTGTGAGGGGTGACCTCTCACATCAGGAAGCCTTTGCAAAGGTCTACTTTCAAAGCATCTCCGAGTTCCTTCAGAAGCTGAGGGGAGACCAATAGTCCCTGGCCATCAATTTTGCTCCAACAGTAGGACAGTACAAGCCCTGGAGCAGAATTCAACTTCTGATTTGGAATATGGAGCGAGGAACAGATTTCCAGTATGTCTAGTGGCAAGTCATACTGTGAAGACGGCCACAGGAAGGAGGACTTTGCAAAGGAGGGAAAACAAGGCTGGGACATGGCGGTGTATGGGTGATGGCTAGGTGGAGACGGACCTTTAATAGGAGGTCCTCTAGATGCGTCTTTGTCCTGTCCCTCCCTTTCTTCTATTAGTAAAATTATTGCGCCAGCAAGAATGAGACTGAACAAATACAAAAACAACTCTAAACTCCTGTGTCCTAAGAAACTCAGTCTATTTAAATATATTTACTATTATAAAGTATAAGTTGATGTTCAAGAGGAACCACTGCATTATTATGTGTGTAAAATGCGTACATACACACTGATATCTTTTCTCAAATCCTGTCTAGAATAGGAGAGGAGGCTATTATCTGGAAGTAGGCTTCTTTTTTATTTTGAAAAAAGAACTTAGAAAATAATGGAATGAATTAGAAACCTAAAATAGACCTTCACCCACTTACTTGCCTCACACCTCTACCTACCATAATCCAAGCACCCTTATAAAGTAGTCTATGTGCAGCCAGAGGGTACTGCAAACATGCACAGAAATCAGCACACCTGGCATCGGCAAACACCAGCTCTTTAAGTCCCACAAAAACAATAACCAGCAACACCTATACGGAAATTGTTTTTCAACTTTTAGATCTTTTTTTTTTTTTTTTGATTAAATGAACCTAATCAAACATATTAATGCTTCCTGTGTAACATAATGCTGAGAAAGTATTGCCAACATACACACTTAGCAGTCTTGTTAATATAGTTAGCTCTGGAGTGGTTAAAGTCAAGATACTAAGAAGGAAAAAAGAAGACGCTCGTGGAAGACAGGAGACCTAAAAGAAAACCAGGGCATCAGTGAAGATAGCAAGCTTCCCTGTCTATGAAAGTCAACACAATTCTCAATTTCCCATGAATCCAATACTTTTCTGCAGTCCTATTCACAGAAGTTTTCACATCAACAGCAAACCTTTACTAGAGTCTGTAGAATACCTGTTTTTATCATGATGTGAATGAACCAATGCATTAAAACCACCAAAGAAGGTTCATCCGTAGATGTAACTAAAGATATCAGAAACAACCTAAATGGACAACTTTTAATGAATAGGAGAGGGCAGAAGCTGTCTACATACATTTTTTTTGTGGAGCAGGCCAGTGGAATGCCAGGTACACATTATGTGACAGGCAATAATAGAGCAATGTTATAGGCACCAAGTTAGAGCCAATACATCTGTCTTAGGTTCACTTGGGAAGAGAAAGCAACATCACTTACAAATATTGCAGATCTCAAGTTTGAGTCATGAAATAGACCCTGACAGGCTGTGACACTTACAAGCACTTTACTACCAGTAAGGTTTTAACCAATCAGAATGGACAGCCACTATAAACAAGGCCCCTCTCAGTGCAGCATCCAGCTGAACATGCACTCTGTTGGTAGATGGTGGGAGTGGGCCCAATCTGAGATGGTGGTGCTGCTTCCTCCTACCGCACAGTACTTTGGCCTGTTTATAATTCTGCTTTGAGACTTTTCCAGATCTGGTGCCAAAGGTCAGGGGATGTTCACACTGGGCCACATCCATACCACCTGATCTGTGTGTGGTATCATCCAGCTCATGAATACTCCGCACACTGCACGGGGAACTAAGAATTTTACTGTAAAACTGGCACTGGGAGACATTTGTGGCTGAGAACCACATGCAAATGCACTCAAACACCCACGCATACACAAACTGTTAAACTTTTCCATTACTAGAAATAACAGTTTGGGTTTCTTCGAAAACGAAAGTATTCTGAAAGAAAATTAGAATAGTCACTTTCATCCTAATCATCAAATTATACCTATGAGAAACAAAACAAAACCAAAACACCAAAGTGCCACCTAGGTTTTTTTCTTAAGTCGGATGAAAACCTTGATAAGAGTGCATGCAAGCTTCGTGGCCAAACTCTGAAGAAGATGGTAAGACTCCAAAATACAGTTTGGGGATGCAAACAATTTTTAGAGATCATAAACAAATATTAACACCTGTGACATACCTGTTGCCCCCATGGGCACATAATTTAGAATACGTGTTCTTAAATGACAAAAGATCAAAGATGAGGGGCATGGCCAACAAATAATGATTTTCAAAAAAGGGAGTAACAGAAATATTAACCTTTTATAATAACCATACATCCCCTCTGCATTCTCCATATATCATAAAATGATTTGGTTTAGCTTTCAAATATTTCTTAAACAAACAAACAAACAAGGTAGAGAGGGAAGTTTACTGCTGGGATTTGCAAACAGCAGCAACCATTCACCTACAGATGTTGCCAGGTGGCTGCTGAGAAGCTACTTTTGTGTGTATGAAGGTGGTCTTTTCGGCTACAGTACAAGTGCTTGTGCATCAAGTATAAAATACAAGCCTTTAATCACATAGATCAGCTTTTTAGCTTTTGTAAATTTAAAAACAAAAAGGATAAATAAGGCACTGTACTTTTAAAAACAAAAACTGCTTGGTTCCAAGTTTAAAACCCAAGGAACAACCAGAATCTAATATATAACTTCCCTTACTCAGCCTCAGGAAGACTCTGTAAGTTCCCTTCTCCATCTGAGACGTATTTTCGGACACTTCAAACACCTCAAAAAATGGTGTTGTCCATTAGCTGCAGATTTGAAAGGCTTGGTAAGCTTATAAAAGCAGATCTCGTTAATGCAAAATAAAGGGTTACTTCTACCAACAGTTTTCCTCTTGGCTGCCAGGCCACCAATCATTTAGCTTCCAGTCGTCTCCGTTTGCTGTGGAATGAGTCCAGCTTTGCCTTCAGCTTTCGCTTTCTCTGGGCAGCACTATTCTCTGGGCTTTTCGTCAAGGATCTGGCCCGATTCTTCCCACTGCTCTGCTTCCTATTCGTGGATTTCTGTGGCTTTGAACAAGATTCTCCAGTCCCTTTTTGCTTTGCAGGTTTAGTCAATGTTTCTGAAACAGTGGGCTGAGCAGGTCTCTTATGGGTATTCTCTTTTTCTTTCTTGGAGGGAGGGCAGCCCTTCCCAGCAGACTTTTTAGGGATCTTCACTTTATTTTCTTTCAAAGAGATCTTTTTGGGCACCTGGCTGATTTTGTCTTTTGTAGCTGGTTTCTTGGCAGCAGGGGTTTTGGTGGATCCATCAATATGTTTGTCTTTGTTAGCTTTTGTTGTGGGTCCCTTTTCCTTACCAGAGGGAAGAGATTTGTCCTGAGTGCTTCCTTCTGCTCTCTTTCTCTTGTTCTGGACTTCTACTGTGGGCAAGCTTCCACAGAACTGCTTCCCTTTCCTCCCCTTCCCTCCCTCAGCATTCCTGGGCTTGATGGGAAACCCATCTGCATCGACCTGAAGGGCAAGCTTGGGAGACAACATAGGGTTGATGCACACACTCTTACGATTCTGTCTACTCTCCCCAGCTACACCAAGTGGGCTTTCTGGTTTCTCATTTTGGATCAGACGCCGTTGGGCCTTGAGCTTTCCTCGGATGTTGGAATACTTTCTAAGGATTCGGGTACTGGCTGGAGTAGGCGAGTTTGTGGGAGGGTGGTTATTTCTCTCTTCCTTGACTTCCTCTATGCTACCTTCCGAGTTAGGGCAGAGGCTGACATCACTGCCTTCCTCTGGCTCCACTTGATCTGGATTCTCTCGAAATTTAGCCCACAGCTTCTGTGTTTTCCAATTATTCCTAACAGGAGTTGCTCCAGGGAATTTCTTTAAGTGTTTTTTCAAGCGTTCAGCCTGCAGTGAACTTGGATATGGGCTGGAAGGAGAGTATTTCTGAAGAGGATGCTTAACAGGAGGGGTGTCTCCTGGAAGGCGAGTATTGAGCTTCTTGACAATGACCAGAGATCGGGTTTCAGTTGTCTCTAAGAACCATTTGCAAACATTAGATAATTTAAAGTTGCTCATAAATAGTGTCTGAACAGGAGAAAACTTTTGAACTTCCAATGAGCCCCTGCATTTCCGTGACCTTTTCTTGCTTTTCCAAATCTCCTTTAGTTTGTCTGACTTGTTCTTTGCTCTTGGTGTTGGTTGCGCTTCTTTCTCCAATTGGATCCAACCCTTCTGCACTTTCATGTACTGGGCATTGAAGTTGGCAATAAGCTCCTGGTTCTCCTCCTCAGCACACCATTCCACAAATTTTGGTTGGTCGTCTACGACTGCTTCCATATCATCCTCTTCTATGGGTTCTCCACTCTGTGAAGCTTCAATTTCCTTTGGCACTGGGTTTACTAGTACAGCTTCCTTTTCTGAAGTCACTTTTGTAGTATCCAAGGAGTCCAGAGAATGAGCATGTCTTAGGTTGTAGGTTGAAGAGGTCAACCTCTTAGGCCTTGATATCAGCTGTGGTGGTCCAGCAGCATCACCACTACATGACAAGCCAAGTGAGCTAGATGGTACATCATGCTGGAGGTTTTCACTGTCTACCTCACAGTTATAAACTTCCTCCACGTCTTGGATAGGAGTATGCCCTGGCTTTTCTCTTGATTGCTCTAGTTCCCTCTTACAAGAAATACTTTCAAAGGAGGATTGAGCATTTTTCATAGTTAACTTAGACTGAAAACCTATTTCTAGTTTCTCTTCAGGCAGGGGCTGGCCAATTGTGTTGACAGGATCACTGTTAGGGAGTATCTCTCCTTTTTCTAACTTGATTTCTTTTGCCAACATGTTTTTGAAAGTCTGCCTGGTGATGATCCCAACTCCATCACTCTCCTGCTCAGCATCTTTCTCATAAGAATTTTCATAGACATTTGGGTTTTCAGTGTCCCCCAGAGCTTTTGTATGGATATTGCCTGTCAGCAAGTCATCAGATGCTGTCCCACTAGGGTATCCCTCTTTTTTGGAACGCTTTGTAATATTTTTAGAAACTTTGATCTCAGAACAAACAGATAAAGAATCTAAAATTTGATTTCTTACACACCTATCAGCAGGAGAAGAGTCTGAGAGCTGACTTCTTAGGCACCTATCAGATGCCTCAGGGAATTTTTTACCTTTTTTCTTCTTGTCCAAATTCTCTTCAGGAGAGTCAGTGTTTTGATCACACACATCTTTTTCTGAAGGATATCTGACATCACTCCCTTCTCCTTCTAACTTTCCTGTGTCACCTGCCGCCTCACTTTCCACAACTTCACCAGAGTTTTCATTAGTAAACACTTTTTTCTTCAAGCATAGGTGAGTATTGAGCTCCTGAGTGTCTTCAATCTTGGCCTCAGCACTGACACTTGTCTCAACCCCAAGACTGTCCCTTGTCTCGCCGCCAGGACTGATGCTTGTCTGGGCCTCAGGACTGACCCTTGTCTGGACTCCCAGACTGATGTTTGTCTGGCCTTCAGGAGGGATGCTTGTTTGGGACTCAGGACTGACACATGTCTGGGCTTCAGGAGTGATGTCTGTCTGGTCCCCAAGAGTGATGTCTGTCTGAACCCCAGGACTGATGCTTGCCGTGGCCTCAGGATTGGCATTTTTTTGAGCCTCAGGATTGAAGCTTGTCTCGACCCTAGGACTGACACTTCTCTGGATCTCAGGACTGACACTTGTCTCGACTGTAGGAAAGACCCTGGTCTCAGCCTCAGGACTGACACTTGTCTGGGTTTCAGGACTGATGCTTGTCTCGACCCCATGACTGACAGTTGTCTGGGTCTCGGGACTGACGCTAGTCCGGGTCTCGGGACTGACGCTTCTCTGGGTCTCGGGACTGACGCTTCTCTGGGTCTCGGGACTGATGCTGGTCTGGGTCTCGGGACTGACATTTATCTCTGCCTCAGAACTGATCCTTTCACTGTCCTCAGTCTTTCCCAGACTCACAGGAAGCTCCAAGTCCACTGGGACACTTTGCTTTTTGGAACACAGAGGATTTTCCTCTTCACTGACTATTTTAGAAGAAAGAACATCTTCATTGCTTCCCTCAAAAAAGCTCTCAGTAGAAGAAATCAGGTTATAGCTTTGGGGAGCACTCATCTCCTCCGCATCCATCAGTTTAACTGGTTGTTGGTCTTGTTCCTGGGAAGATAGCCTGCTTGTTGTCAGAGCTGAAACTGTGGAGCTTTCTTTTGACATGCTCTTTTCAGTGAGGTGTGAAGGGCTGGAGGCTGCCATTTCCTTAGACCTGGGAGAACTGTTCTGACTCAGGTCATCCATTTCAGGCTCTTGAGATTCATTTTCAGATGAAATATTTCTGCCTCCTTCCTTGAGGGAGGTGATTTCCTCACTAGGTTCTTCAGGGCTGTCTTCTCTAGGAAGTTGCACATCGGTTGTAAGTTTAGGGGCTGAAATTGTAAGGGTTTCCTTGGAAGTAACTACTGCCTCTGACACCAGTGTTGGGCAGCTTTCTTTTTCCTGGGAGTGTAAGTTTCTAGCCAGTGTGCGAACAGTTGGCAGCTCACAACAATCACCATTGAAAAAGTATCCTCTAGTACTCTTTCTGGCTGTTTTCCGAGATGATACTATGGATCTTTGATTCTCAAAGTGGCATTCTGTTATTGGTTGACTGATATAAACGACATCACATTGGTTATCATAGTCATTTATCCTCAACCCTGATGCCCTTTTACTTTTCCTAGCAGTCTTGATGGAGGCTGACATTGTCTTGGTTCGTGAGTGTCCATTAGATGCTTTGTGTACAGCTGGCATAGGGCTGGGGGTTAACCAACCATCTTTGGAATGATCATACTGGCCCTTATCACTGGGATATAAATGGTAACCCACTTTATTTCTTCCTAGTGAGTGAAGATGGTTCTCTTGCTTTGGCCTCGCATCTTGTTCATTTACCTCCATATCCTGGCGCAGAGGTGTTTTCGAACTACATTGTAAAGCATTCTCTTTGTCAGCAGTTCTAGGCAAGTTCCCCACAAACCCTGAGTCCCAAGCTTCTTCTGATAAAACTTTGATTGAATTTCTTTGAGAAACAATACAGCTGTTGCCCTCCTCACTGTTCTCAGCTGCCACTTTTACTGCAATTAGACTTTCTACTAATGTTGAGCTCTGCATACCGTCTTTATCATCCTCACAGCCTTTTGCATTTGTGTCTTGCTCTTGTCCAGTGGTTTGCCCCTCCACATTTTGCGAGATGTGGTGGAAGTTTAATGAGGAAGAATTAGATGCAGTGAGGTATCCCAGAGTGGAACTATCTATTGAACAACCGGAATTAGTGGTTGGAAGTTCAGAGAAATCTTTCTGTTTAATAGTCACAGTACTCTCTCTTCCATCTACTGAGTTTGTCTCAGGAGGAGGCTCCTTAAGGATCTCTTCTGGCAAGTGTAGAGAACTGTGCGAGCCTGGTGGCTCTTGGAACAATTCCACAGAAGTAGGAGACTTCATGTCAAGACACACAGCATCCTTTTCCTTATGTTTGGAGCTCCTCTGGGCACAGCCAGCACTGCAGGTGGATGCCTCCATTGCTCCAGGATCAGAAGGTGGCAGGTCCTCGTGGCCTGGTTGAGCTTCAGTATACAAGTCGTTTAGAACACGAATGAACTGCTTCTGATGATGAGTGCACAGTTTGACCATAAATTTCTCCAGTGGGGACGTCGATTGATTGTTAGACTCTACTGCTACTGTCTCTGCTGAGTTCTCACTAGAGAGACAAAGAAAAAGAACACATTAGTATGGCCATTTGCCAAAGAGCCCATTTTTATTTTATGAAATTCACCTAATATTATTTATATCCTAAAGATGGTTAGGTACTCTGGCCAAAAGTGCTTTGAATGCTGTTCAGAAACTTGATCCAACAAATAAGGAGTATTTAAGGAAAATGCAAGGTCAGCCTTGATGTACTTAAAATTTTCGGTCACAATATCCTTCATATTTTAAATGGCCATTCAGAAATTATCTTACATAGCAAGAAATAATAATTAAAAATAAAAAATTCTCACCACAAATTTTGACTACACTATGTACTAGGTTAATGCGCCAGACTGTAAAGCTATTTTAACTGCAAGGTCGGAGATTCAAGCTCACCAGCTGCTCCTAAAAAACCCTACATAGGGTCGAAATCGACTTGACAGCACTTAACAACAACACTGGTTAATAAGGGGACTTCAAAGAGGTGTGGGGGAAATGGAATTTTTCTACGAACTTTTTGAAGTCCTCCTCATATACTTAAGTTTTGTTGTTGTGCAGTTGGTTCTGACCCATAGTGACATATTATAGGGTTTCCTAGGAGTGAACTGGTGAGCTTGAACTGCTCTGCAGTCCAGCACATTAACTCATAGCACCACACCAAATTCCACTTTAGTTTTAGGCCTTGGTATTCCTGTTTAGTTTATAATAAATGACAAAAATTCAAGTAATATTATTTAGAGACTATATATTGTTGTTGTTGTGAATGCCATCGAGTTGGTGCCAACCCATAACGACCCTGTATAGATAGGGTTTCCGAGGAGCAGCTGGTGAGCTTGAACCACTGACCTTGCAGTTCAAATGGCTTTGTAGTCTGGCACATTAACCCACACCAGGACTCTCTCTCTCTCTCTCTCTATATATATATATATAATTTTTTAGATTACATAATTTTAAGACAGTTTTTCTGAAACACCTATTGACTAGACTTTATAATATTGTTAATGGTCCTTCTACCCATTCCTGGGGTGTGGAGGAATAAAAGATTAATAATTTCATATTTCAGACACAGAAAGATGGAATGAAAAGTTGACTCCTATTCCTAGCTTTATTTTGGATTCTATTCCTCATGGCCACCGTTGTACAGTTGATTCTGACTTCTGGTGGCCCTATGTGTGTCAGAGTAGAACTGCACTCCACAGGGTTTTCAGTGATGGATTTTTCTGAAATATACCATCAGGCTTTTCTTCTGAGGTGCCTTTTGGTGGACTTGAATCACTAACCTTTTGGTTAGCAACTGAACACACTACCCCGGGGACTGATGGAAAACGAGGTAATGGTACCGGTCCAATTTCCTTCATGATTTTCAAACTTGGATCTGCTGCTCTTCATTTCACTAATTTAGTAGTTCCTCAAGAGGATCTCATAGTTGGTAAAGTGGAGGGTCAGTGAAAAGAGGGAGACCCCCAATGAGATGAATCAACACAGCAGCAGGAACACTGGGCTCAAATGTAACAATTGTGACCATGGTGCAGAACCGGGCAGTGTTTCATCTGTTGTGCATAGGGTTGCTATGAATAGGAAATGACTTGGTATCACTAACAACAATACTTAATCAACCTCAATTAATACACAGTTTTCCAAGGGGCATGCAACCACTCCTTATGCAATGATTGTGGCAATAAGGCTCTTGTAGGACGGAGTCCTGATGTGGCGCTGTGGGTTAATGCACTGGACTGCAAAGTTGGTTTGAACCTCAAGATTGGTGTTCAAGTTCACCAGCTGCTCCTAGGAAACCCTATACAGGGTCGCTATGGGTCAAAACTTATTCGACAGCACAAAAGAGAACAGTCAACCACAGGTAAGCAATTCTCTATTTCAAAGCATCACAGCAAGTGAAGGTGGTGTCCTTGCAACTAAGGGCCCAAAGAATTATAACCTGTAACAAGGCAATACTTCACTTGAATGTGGAAAAACCTCTAGCATCAGAGAGGCCAATGCTGCTAACCTCAGGGACACAGTTTGAAACTACCAGTCACTTGGGAGAAACATGAGGCTTTCTGCTCCAGTAAAGACTTATAGCCTCGGAAACCCTATACAGGGTCGCTATGAGTCAGAACCAAATCTACAGCACACCACCACCATCAAGAGGCATGTAGGGAAACCCTGGAGAGGTACACATTGAAAATGGCAACCTTCCTTGAGAGAAAGAGACATCAACAAACAATAAGGTCATTTGCATGTGATTTCCTAATAAAAAGGAAATAAAACAGAGTAAGGTGCTCTTATCAGCTACATTATTGTTGTTATTGCGGTTAAGTGCCTTTTAGTCAATTCTGACTCACAGTGACCCTGTTTCCAAAGAACGGCTGGTAAACTTGAACCACTGACCTAGCAGTTCAAACTGACCTTGTTGTCCAGTGCATTATCCTGAAGTGCTGCATCAGGACTCCAGATACATTGCTGTTTTTGTTAAGTGCCTTCGAGTCAGTTCCAATCCATAGTGACCCTGTATTAAGTTTCCAAGGAGTGCCTGGTGAGCTTGAACAGCCAACCTTGCAGTTCAAACCAACTTTGCAGTCCACCATATTAACTCACAGTGCCACACCAGGACTACATTATTAGCCAGGTCAAAACTATCCATACTGGAGTGATTGCTCCTTTTCCTGGAATCCTAAACTTTTGTTGTCAGTAAGTGCTGTTGAGTCAGTATAGGGTTTCCAAGAAGTATCTGTTGGGTTTGAACTGCCAACCTTGTGGTTCACAGTTCAATGCTAATCCTATAGCGCCATCCCAGGAGTCCTCCTAAACCATGGTGGTCTGTATAATTCACTGGCAAATTCAAGAGACTTCAGCAATTTCATGGAAAAGTGGAATGAAAAGATAATGACAATTTCCCACAAACTTTTTGAAGCACTTTTTATATGGGCCTTTGTATAATTTGCATCTTATTTTTTTCTATTAATTTTTAAAACATTTTAAAACGTTATTTGTATATTGTATTGAATTAATTTGTCTTGTAATTGTTTTCACTTCCCAAGCAGTGAATTACTGGAGTGTATGTAGCACTGTAGGATCAACACTGGACCACAAGGTGTGCAGTTAAAACTGTTGAGCCATTCCTCAGAAACCCTACACAGGCTTGCTCTGTTGCCTGGCTTTTCTTCCTGGGAGACAACATTTCCTGAAACAGGTACGCTGGAAGCAAAGCTGGGGCTGGTGGTAGTTGAAGTATGTATGTATCTGGTTGAAATTTGTCCTGTACACATTGCACTGTGAGGTGCCTATGAGATTCTCATGTCTGGTAGGCAACTGGACACATCAGCAGTTTCACTTGACTATGAGAGCCTTCACACTAATATTAACCTTTGATCAGGTGTCATTAACTGGCCTTGTCACAATAGCTGGCTTTACAACTACAGTAATAAAATTATGTTTGATTTTGCCTCTAAAATTATCCAGCTTCCTACATTGTCTGATTTTTTGCCAGAAAATTTCTCAAAAGGTCATAAGGTTAGATGAATTTAATTTCATGTTATTTGAATATTTAATTTTTGAAATGATCAATTCCCTGAAATTTAATTATATCGATCTTTTTCATGCTTAAAAAATAGGTGTTACCCATTTTTCAAAGTTTTAAACTAGTCTTTACCTTTGAACTTATCGATTCCATTTTCTGATAGTTCTATCTTAAATAGAAGATAATTATGGAATTTGCATTAATTTAGAATATCCTCAGGCAGCAAATAAGGAAAGCAGTGAGACAATTTCTGTTGTGTGGAACATTTACTAACTCTATCTAAGGGAAATGTTCTTGTTCAGTGAAAACAGGTAGTATCATATGATCTCCTTCATATCTGACTTACTAAAATCACTTCACTTTACATTTCTCCTGCTCAGAGGATTCTCTGTAATAGGTAAAGTGAATTATCAATCAGAAATACTTGAACAATATCATTAAAGGGTGGTGGTGGTGTGCCGTGGAATCAGTTCCAACTTATAGCAGTTATGTATAGGGTTTCTGAGGCTGCAAATCTCTACAGGCGCAGAAAGCCTCATCTTTTTCCCGATGAAAGAGATTTAAGACCATTTAAAAAAGAAAATAAAACAAAAACCAGACCCACTGCTATTAAGTCAATTCCGACTTATAGTGGCCTATACAGGGTTTCCAGGAGCTCTGGAAGCGTAGTGGTTATGAGTCAGGCTAGCCTCAAGATCAGCAGTTCGAAATTACTAGCTGTTCCGCGGGAGAAAGATGAGCCTTTCTGCTCCCGTAAGTAAAGATTTACAGTCTCAGAAACCCTATGCAGGGTGGCTATGGGTTGGAACCAACTTGAATGAACCTAACAACAACAACAACAACAACAATCACACAGAGTTTCCAAAACACTAAATCTTTACAGGAGCAGACAAGTCTCATTTTTCTCCCC